CATTCTACAAAACAAGACGCTTTCCAGGATTCTACGATATTCCTTCCAAATATTATAGGATAGACGAAAAGAGAAAAAACGGTAACGCACAGACACTCCGGTAGCAGAGTTAGGCGTTTTTCATGTACAGTTGTATGAAGTTTGATCTTCTAACAAATTTTACGGAGTAAACTATTCTAAGATGAAGTTTAAAGCTGTGTTTTTAATATGAATGATGCTAAAGAAATTTAAAGGCCCTATGAAGAACAGTGAGAATAACAAAAAACCCAAAACCATAAGGATCAAACTGAAAGCGATTCTGCTGCTGCAAAAACCAGCTCCAGAACCGATGATACAACAACTAGATGATCGAAATATTTTCGTTACTAATTCTGATGTAAGAAAAAACTCATTAGCAATAACTAATGATGATAATCAGCAAATTAGTGATATTAAACAAACCTTAAACTATTCTTAAGCACTATTCATATCAAAAACACAGCTTTAAACTTCATCTTAGAATAGTTTACTCCGTAAAATTTGTAAGAAGATCAAACTTCATACAACTGTAGTAACAGTTATCTTTGTCGTGAGAAAATAAGCAAAAAGTTATAGTAGTCTGTTTTGACAGTAAACTTCATCTATTTAGGCTCAATTTATGTGTGCGGGATAGGCGAACAGTTTTTGTTACAAGATCATATGGTGAGAAAAGAAAATCACTATTTTTCGCAGCTCTGCTGTCGTTAAATTTTTTTCTTTCTCTGTTCTTCTTATTGCACATAGTGACCACAATTGCTCAGTCATCCATATTATTTGATTGCTCCCTAGTTGTTGCTTTTATGATGCATAATTACTTGTGAAACCATTGTCTGCGAAATACAATAGAAAATGTAAGATATTGTTTAGATTATTGTAACGATTTTTCTTTATTACGGCAGCACGAAAACAGCCGGCTTTTTATATTGTGCACAAAGACGTGTATCAAAGATAAGAACGAATCACCAAAGTCACTGTGAGACATTAAACGACTTACGAGGGAACTTTTCGAGGTGACAGTTTTTAGTGAAAATTCACCATTGAAAACCTAAAAACTTGTTATCACTCTTTAGATACCTCTATCGACTCAGGAAAGATTTATTTCATTTAGATATAGGTCCCTAAGAGCCGCTGAGCTTCTGCAGCGTGAACAGAGGTATTTACAAGGTGATAACAGGTTTTTAGGTTTTCAATGGTGAATTTTCACTAAAAACTGTCTAAATCATAAAAAACTCATATCTTGCAAATGCTTTGGTTTATAAGCCTAAAAGTGTCGCAGTGAGTAGACAACATCTATCTTCAGCTGTGGTGTAAATTTCCGACTCCTAGCTGATCATGGTCGTGAGATATTAATTAATTATTATTAATGGCATTTTCATTAATTAACTCATATCTCCATCAAAAAGGCGCATGGGCCCAAGCCAACTTGGGGTTTTTCACTACTGAGCATTCCCTACATAATGAAAATAGTCTGAGTCGAAAAGCTTTTAATAAGTAATTAAAAAGATAGTCGGCAAAACGAGAACTAACGGTAAAACTGTAAGCTTCTACTAGTATGATATTTAAAATAAAATTCAATGATGGTAGGTAATAAAGGTTCAAGAAAAGGCTACAGTATGGACGGACTATCATTGATTGTTTGGTAATACATTTTTACAGTTTGAGGATTCGTGAACTACTATCGACGCCAAAATCTAATGCATATGATTGTTTTTCGCATAACTCAAAGACAACAACTGATAGAAATTAGATGTGATACAACATTTGTTTTTCAAAAAAGTTTCAAAAACCTATATTAGATGAAACAATCCATTTGTCGCTGGTTTTGAGGGTAAAATTACAGCAATCATAACCCAGTCAAGATCTGTCCAAATTATGTCGGAATATCAGGATGTACGCTATTTTACCTGAGAATAGCAAGAACCGCTCTTGTACCTCCAAAGATTTCTAGAAAACCTTTTCAAAACTCAATTTTCTGTTGACTTTTAATGCCTTTATTGAACTACATTGCATCGAACACATAAAATAGAGTACTTCCTGATGTTCTGATATAATTTGCATGGATCTTAACTAGGTTATGTACTTTGAAATTTTACTCAAAACCAGCCAGAAATGGATTGTTTCATCTAATATAGGTTTTTGAAACTTTTTTGAAAAACAAATGTTGCATCACATCTAAGAAAATTGTGATCCTTGAATTCTCAAGCATTCCGATGCCACGCCAAAAAGCAGGAAAAATTAAGAGTTCCCTTAGTTCCCATTTTGCAGAGGACACTTGGATTCTATATCTACAGAAAACAACTGATAGATTGCTATCTCAGTTTCCGAAGATTCGAATAGGTCTTCCAAAGATCCGCTGAGACACCAGCTTCAAAAATTTCTTCAGCGAGCTATTTTGCTTATGGAAATATAGTCCTCCTCAAGTGCCTTTTTCGATGGCTGAAAACCGCAACTTTCTATCAGTTGTTGTCTTTGCGTTATGCAAAAAACAATCACAAGCGTTATATTTTGGCGCTGACAGTAGTTTTTTATGTATATGTTACAATATTTTCGATTGCTCAAACGTCTCTATATTTAATCTACGAAACAGAAAGTGTATTATAGCACAATCATTCATATTCAGATTTCACTTCCAATAGTGTTCATTATATTCTTTTTTCTGTTCAACATGGAATGCTCTTGAAGAACGTACAGCGAAAATGACCGCTCTGTATTTTAAAATTTTATTCAAATAATGTAAGGATTTTCAGCTAGGATCCCATGTCTAAACCATAACATATTGGCCATGTGGAAAATTCCAGTACTTCCATCCGTGGACACGCGCTGACCATTTTTCCACGGATTCCCTAGACAAAAGTTTTCACATCTTTCTGAGCATGGACACCAGCGATACTTTACTTTTCATGCGTGGAAACTATTTAAAAAGGCTTTAAATTTCAAAGACAACTCGTAAGTGCTCATTATCGAGATCGAGTACAATCAACGCCTTGGCATTTGTGAGATGCCACCAGTGTATATCAAGACATCCATGCATGAATAAGATAGTTGCACGAGTATAAATGATGGGTTGCCGAATTTCTATCAAGTTATGCGCGACAGACTTTAGTTCAATACTCGGAACGAGTTTTATTCCATAGACTAGCTACCTTCTGAATTCTTCAAGGATTCTAGAAAGCAAGCTGCACTTTATACAGTTTCTAAGTAGTTTTGGTAGAGGAAGATGCGCACAACATTTTGAAAGTTTAAACGAATTTCTCATTTATTTTCTCGTTTCTAAAATTGTGTTCTTAGGCAAAGTGAGGTGCTAGATCATCATCAACGTTCATCATCTGTGAGAATATAAGAGAAGCAATCGAGTTTAACAACTTTCTCCACGAACGACTGATGCCACTATTCCTTATTTTATAAAAAATATGTTTAACATCGTCGCACAGGACTCATTGCTTTTTATGTGTATTCGGGCTGTAGAAATGATGAGTCATCGATTTCCACATGTAAAAATGCGTTATACTTGTAACATCAGACGTGAACACGCGTCAGCACAAATGATAGACAAGAGATAATACAGTAGAATAATGATATTTTCATCAATCCAAAACATCGTTCTTCAAAATAAAGTTGAATGTCGTAATTCTCATGACTATATTAACCCTCATCCGCCCACCTGGGGTCCAGCTGGACCCCAACAAGTTTCAAATTAATGTGATATGCACATAATATTAGATCGAATCATGCCCTTCATGATATGCCTTAGTGAAGAGTAGTAGCGTAAGCTGATAAGATATGACGTATGTGTTATCCCTTTCTTTTTTTCAGCTCTATCATAGAGTATCACATTAATCTGTGGACATCACACATACGTTCTATCAACATTAGAACTGCGACAAATAGCCATTTTCTTTTCTTTTCTTTTCTATTTTCTTTTCTTATTCACGTTATATTTTAGAGCACTAGCAAATAAGGAGATATCTGTTTTCGCTCATGCATATCTTTCTGTTCTCTTTCGTTTCAATCGACGCGCTGAGACAAAAAAATGTTCGCACACGAGATATCGTATGTGAAGCTCGGACTTTGTTAGACTGAGAAATCAAAGATTTATGGCCAAAATCGTATTTTTCGACCAAAACTTGAAATAGACATAACTGCGTCCCAAAGCACCATGGGCACAAACCAACTTAGAGTATTTCACTATTCACTGAGGTCTACAAGATGCAAGTAGTCCGAGTTCAAAAGCAATTCATAACCTGAAGAGGTTCCCTCGTAAGATTGTTTACTGAAGTCGATTATCAAGCGATTTATTTTTTGCTGAGGAACCGGTTGCCCGACGTGTAAGTAACAGAATTAAAAGAAACCTATCTTAGCTAAATTTGAAAAAGTCTTATTTGTTTTGACACTGAAATCACCCAACCAGCAGCTAGCATGCTACCGAAATGTCAAAAGTTAACATTTTTCAAGGCAAGGCGATGGGCGATAGTTTTCGGTAAAAAGAAAAAATAACGACAAAATCGTCTGGCGCAAAAAACGCCGATTTTTCAACCTCTCTCATGATGAAGATGAAAATAATTCCGATTTAATACAACAATGTAGAACTGGTAATGAATTAAAAACAAAAGAAGAAATGCAAAAACTTGATGATTTAAAACGAGTATGGAAAAAGCTTAAATGTTATTCTGAATTTATTGAATTGAAAAAACGAAATATAATTGAATTTCAAGAATTATGTCTAAGAACCGCAGTAGCAGAGAAAAAGTAAAACTTTGCCAATGACTCTACCGACGTGATGACTCTACACCCAAGCATGAAGAAAAAATAGCATTTATTTAGATTGCTAAATTTTTACTCGATAAAGACATAATTAGTTGATAAAGACAGTGAAATCTAGTAATCGAGCGATTGCATAATTCTCAATTATGGACCTATTGATTTACTCTCGATTCAACTATTGTTAGTTACACATGCAGATGCATCTAGTTAAAAGTGCCTTTTTGCAACTAGTAATCTAAATGACATCTAGTAGTGGCATCGCTCGATTACAGACGAAATATATCTGTTTTCTCTATAGGTGATTTTCGCTTAGCTAATCAGTAACAGAGGTATGCGTTTTGGTTTGCAGTCCATTAGTAATATTAGTAGTTTTGCTTTAAAATAAATTATCTAAAAAGACGAGCCAAACAAAAATCCCTTATTTTTGAGTTTTTCGGTTCTTCTGAGCTGAGTGTTATGTAGTAAGATGCATAGAATTGACCGGATTAGGGGTGTTAATTTAGTTTTATTGTTTATTTATAATAATGGATAAAAGTAAATGAATCATTTACACTTAAAAGATAAAGATAAATTCATCATTTACATTTATTTTCCAAAGTAACACTAAATTAACACCCCTAGAGCGGGTGGGTATTTCATTAAGGCTACCGGATAACACTCAGAAAATTTGTTGTCATTAGCAGTAACTCATATTAGCTCATTGTTTTTAGATAATATTTCTCTTTTCCACCATGGAAGCATTGCTGGTACGCCATTCAACTATCGTTTATCAGCTTCGTAAAGAACGATCAACTATTACCGTTGAAAATATAAAAGAAATCTTTGATGACATTCTTACATTTTAAAATGAAAACGATAGTGAATCACAAGGTCTGCAGCTTCTAGCTGCTATTTGTCATGAATTAGCTAATATTAATACATTGAAATTATTTGATAATCCCGCGATTATTGATCATGAATTATTTATTTTTATACAGCATACAATATCTCTGTGGCATAACGTGACATAGGGGTGAAAATTTTACCATAGCTTTCCCACTACAGCCCCAACGTATCCTGAAAATTTCAGCCCATATGGAGTATTGTAAGCCAGAAATCAATTCTGGAGGGGTGGCCTTAAAAAGTAGACTATAATCAAAATATGCAGGGTGAGAACTTCTACAATGCCAAATGTAAATGATCATTAAACTGCCGACTTTTTTTATTGGAAATTAGGCGAGACCCATCTTTTGACACTCTGAAAGGAGCAGTATTCATGCTAACCGAAACACTCCTTCGTTCTACTTAGGCAAGATGCGAACGCGAACGTTCGGGTCCGGTGAGTTCGCATTCGCGTTCGGCTTCGCCCGATATCGTTCGGTTAACAAAAACAGTACGAGAAGTAGCATAAGAGTGGTCGGTTTCAAGGTTTTCCCGGCAAATACCTGCACGAAGAATCAAATGGGAAAAATCTAGGTGCAACAATAGTGTATTCAGTAGGTTTATCTATGATTTCTGAAAAACCCGAACCCAAACGCGAACCCGAACTCGAAACCGAATCCGAACCGAACCCGAACCGAACCTCCAAAGTTCGGTCCCGAACTCCGAAAATGTACGTTCGCGTTCGCATCATGCCTAGTTCTACTCTCCCCTCAAGAAAATTAATTGCTCTTCACAACTTATAAAGCTTTTACGCGGCATCTTTTGATGTGGTGCATTTTTTTTGACGAAAAGTACTTTGAGATGATAACATGCTGTGCAAAATACAGCCATTTTAGATGGGTTCCTTGATATTTTGTTGTATTTAGTAATTGTCACTACTGACAGGTATCTGCAATGTCGAACTTATCGGAAGTTGGTAATGAAATGAAAAAATCACCAGTTGATCAAGAAATATGCGACTGCCATCGTAACGCTTCACCAGATCGACGACGTCGTTATATTTTACAGAATTTCATTATCATTTGGTTGGACTCGAACAGCGATTCCCATCAGTCACTGATCCAATTTCGACAAATTGTCACTACAATCGATATATTCACTGATGGTGCTGAATGTGTCAAATATCTTACAGAGACGAAAAATGAAAAAGTCTTTCTGATCGTGTCGGATACTCTCGGTCAGCAATTCGTTCCTTGTGTTCATGATCTGCTTCAACTTCACTCGATTTACATATTTCCTAGCGATGCAGTCGCGGACAAGTCGTGGACAACGAAATGGAACAAGATAGTAGGAGTCTACGCTGATGTTCAGTCGATTTGCGATTCACTCAGCCAACGTACGCGACAGTGTGATCAGGATTTGACTCCGTTCTCCATCATTTCTTCGAGAGATTACTCGAAAGAAGATTTGAATGAACTTCCGTCATCCTTCATGTACTCACAAATACTGAAAGAGATTCTTCTCGACATGGAAGCAAATGAAGATGCGAAGAAACAATTGGTTGAATTCTGGCGCACTCACTACCTGAATAACAACTTTCAATTGCCAAGCATCGATAACTTCGAAAAAAGTTACGATCCGAATTCTTCCATCTGGTGGTATTCTCATGAGTGTTTCCTGTACTCACAACTCAATCGAGCTTTGCGAACTATGGACATTGACATTCTGACCCATATGAGTTTCTTCTTACGCGATCTGCATCAAGAGATTAAACAGTTGCACAAGCAGCAGTCGCTTCGTTGTTCCTTCGTTGTCTATCGAGGGCAAAGAATGCACATGAGCGACTTCGAGCAGTTACACAACAGCAAAGGTGGTCTCTTATCCTTCAATAATTTTCTATCAACCAGTATCCATAAAGAAGTATCATTAATGTTCTGTCCTGATCTTCCATCAGATCCGAATATAATTCCGGTTCTGTTCGAAATGCAAATTGATCCTGCCTTAGTAGCGACTCCATTTGCTCGAATCGACCATTTAAGTAAGTTTCCTGATGAAAAAGAGATTCTCTTCTCGATGCATTCGGTCTTCCGAATTGGTGAAATCGCGCAAGACAATGATTCACGTTGGCACGTAAAATTGGAATTGACAACGCAAGACGATCAAGAGTTTAGACGACTTACTGAACACATACGAGATGAGACATCTGGATCCACAGGATGGTATCGATTAGGTCAGTTAATGATTAGAATGGGAAACTTCGAAAAGGCTGAAGAATTCTACAAGACGCTAATCAAAAACAAATCAGACAACAATGACAAAACACCTTTTTCTCTCTCTCATCAGCTTGGATTGATACAAATCGACCAAGGACGCTTCGAAGACGCACTACATCTCTATCAACGAAACAAAAAAACATCAAGGGCATCAGACTGTTCGGAAGTACAGAATGATCCACTGTATTATAGCAACATAGGTATGGTATACTATAACATGCGAGATTATCCCAAAGCACTCGAATCCTATCGAAAATCACTTGAAATCCAAGAAGAGCAAAACCCCTCGAATTATCTCGGTTTAGCTACCACATGTAGCAACATTGCTTTGATCTATCGCCATGCTAAAGACTGGTCAAAAGAACACCAATTCTTTGAGAAAGCGATTGACTTTTACGAGAAAGCCATGGTTCCTGAAAGAGAGCATCGCGATCCGTTCCGGAGGCATTCACAATTACCCAGAGACCTGTTCAATGTCGCTTGCTTGCATGCGAGTCAAGAAGAATACTCGGAAGTGCTTCGCTTCTATGAACACTCATTAACAATGCAGTACAAATCTTCCCATTCTTATTCACGCATACCAGCGCTTTCTCAAATCTTCAGCGAACTTGGATCGCTATATAAGAGCAAGAGGATGTACAGCAGAGCATTTCAGTGCCATGAAGAAGCACTTACCAGTCTGCAGCGTAGTCTCCCTTCGAATCATCCCACAATGGCTCTTGTCTACAACAACATGGGCTCAACGCAACAAAAAGCTGGAAACTACTCGGAAGCTGACAAATTCTATCGAAAATCACTCGAAATTCAATACAGATCTCTTCCTGCCAATCATTTGGATGCTGCTACAACTTACAGCAATATCGCTTCCATGTATGACGAACTCGGGCAGCGAGCAGAAGCATACCAGTTGCATGAAAAGCTACTTCAAATTCGATACGAATATCCTCCGGCGCAGAATATACAAATGCCTATTTTGCATGCTCCAATTAGCTTGATTCTTCAAAGAATTCCGCACTATCACAGAGCAATCATGTTCTACAAAAAAGCATTGGTAATTCAACAAACAACTCTTCCTCCACATCATCCCCATTTGGCTGCCACCTGTACCCGTCTTGCTTCAGCGTATTCGAATACTGCACATTTCTCAAAAGCAATCGAGTTCTTTCAGATGACCCTCGCGATTCAACAGAAAAATCTCTCTCCCGACCATCTGGATATCTGTCCTACATACAATGGTATTGGTTCGGTGTATGAGAAAATGGGAGACAACTCGAAAGCACTTCATTTTTTTGAGAAAGCGCGGGCAATCCATGGACAATCTCGATCGAGCGATCATCCGAATCTTGCTTCGACGTACCGTAATATTGGGTCGGTGTATCGAAACATGAGTGACACCTCCAAAGCACTCGAATTTTATCACAAGGCTCTCACAATTCAAAAGAAGTATAGGTTTCGTGGAGATTCAGATTTAGCGACGACGTATAGTGATATTGCTTTGATCTATCAGATCATGGGAGACGACTCTAAAGCATCCGAGTTTTATCGCAAGGCCCTCACAAGCCAAGAAGCCGGTCAACTCCGAGACGATTCAACCTATACGATTCCACCCAACTACCAACCTTCAACCGATCGACCTTCCACTAGTCCATACAGAAGAATTGGCACAGCGTACCAGAACATCAAGGATTACTTTCAAGCACTCGAATCTTATGAGAAGTCACTCGTAATCCAACAAGAATCGCTTCCGGAAAACTGTCCAGATTTCGTCACTAAGCTCAGCAATATTGCTGCAGTGTATAAGAACCTAGGGAACAATGCAAAAGCACGTGAACTCTACGAAACGATGCTGACAATTCAACAAACGTTTCTCTCCAGCAATCAGCCAAACTTTGCTACGACTTATCGCAATATTGGTGCGGTGCATCAGAGTATGGACCGCAATTCGAGAGCGCTGGAGTTTTATGAAAAGGCACTTGCAATTCAACAAGGATCTCTCTCTCCAAATCATCTGGATGTCGCGACCACACTCAGCAAGATCGCCTCCGTATATCAAAACACGGGCGACGCTGTAAAAGCGCTCGAATTTTACGAAAAGACATGCGCAATTCAACTAGAGTCTCTCCGGAACAATCATCCAGATTTAGCGGCTACGTACAGCAACATTGGCGCAATGTATCAGCACGTAGGAAACAATGCGAGAGCCGTCGAATTTTATGAACAGGCGCTCACAGTTCAACAAGACTCCTTGTCTAAAAACCATCCAGATTTGGCAACTACTCTTAGTAATATTGGTGCGGTGTATCAGATAATGGAAGATGACTGGAAAGCATTCGAGTTTTATCAACAGATACTTGCCATGCTAACAGCAGATTTGCCAGAATACGATTCAGCTTTGGCGACGACCTATATCTATATCGGCGCAGTGTATCGCGATATGGCAGATAATTCGAAAGCACTAGAATTTTATCGTAGGGCACTCACCATTCAGCGAGAGTACCTCTCCAGTAGTCATCCGGATTCGGTGACGACTGAAAGTAATACTGACGCAGTGTAGGCGGCCATGGGAGACCAGTCAGAGTTTTCTTTGCTAAAATACCTAATGTGTCGATCACTGGAAAAATAAAATTTCTTTAGTTTGCGAAGGCTTCGTCTTTTGGATCGAAGAAAAGGCTTCAAGTAAGATTCGAAATAACGTTGCGTGCTTGTTGAGGATGAGTTTTCAAAGTCGATGAATAAGTGAAGATACGACGATAGCCATCGCTCTTTTCACTAAATATATTGCAGAAATCATTGACAAGGAAACTCTCGCTCAACACAGTCGCAGCCAGCTGTTGAGTGCTTTCAACAAGAAGGAGATTGTGAAAAAAATCAACCCTCCAGACGGGCGAATCAACTGCCAGGCTGAAGTGCATGAAATATTTAATCAAGATTATAAAAAATGAAACTTCAATTCGATCGTTCAGACGATCATGTCTCAGTAATTGAGTAATTCTGAATCATTTATTCAAATGAAATCAGAAGAGGTGCTCTTCAGATCACCCTCAAGATATAGTTCATTTCTTTGGTAATAAATTATTCGCTTTCATATACTCAACCACGGCACGAGCATACCGAATCGCGTTTAAACGTTTATTGGTACCAGCACGCATACTGTAGAGTAGTTCTGTTTGGATGGCACTGATTTTCGAGATATAATCTCGTGTTATATAGCCACCCTCATAGAAAGTGCCATTGACGGATAGGCAATACCGAGTTCATTCGTTTCAAAAATTGTACCAAATGATGTCGGCCCTCGAAGACATTCATTGCGACCTAAACAGAGTGATTCGATCGATGTAGTGGTGCTGAGTGTCGTCTGAAGATCATCTCTATTCAGTAAATCAGCTTTCAATAGATGTCCGAGCATGGTATACCTAAAGATCAGATCAGTACATCCTGGGCTATTCGAAAGCATCACTGGGGAGCCTCAGTTTCCCACTCCTTGGCCATGGATGTCAATCAGAAGACCTTGACCATACTGTTTTTGTACGTGGTTGATGGCATTTTGGAGATTGGCATGATAGTTTTGATGAGCTTTCATTGCTTCAGGATGATTGAGTGTGGCTTCGTTGATTTCTCGGTTGAAATCGACTTTTTTCCGACTTCATTTACCAATAACGACAAACGATTTTAGCTGATATTTCAGTGATAATTCTTCAGCAACATTCGCTGCGAATTCATCACTCAGAGTATCTTAAACGGCCGTTGCTGGACAACGGGTACCATCGAGACATTGATCATCGTATATCCATGTGCATGAGGATCCTGCACGACGGCAACCTCCCATCGTTCGATCGGGCACATCCTCTGGCATTAGACTCCCACCATGAGGGGTCGAAAGGATCAGGTTGATGTTGCCTGCTTGCTGAAATTTGCAAGAGGACCTATAACCATGCGTGTATATCAATGATTGTTGTTGAGTAGCATCGAAGAGAACTGCAGCAAGCACCAAATACGCCAGGCAAAGTGTCCACAACATGAGAACCAGATGCAATGAATGAGCCGTTCCATGGTAAGAGATACTTTTAAGTGTGTGCTGATACTCGAAAGAAAAGGATTAGTCTCACATTGAAAAAAGCAATTTTTGTTTCGGCACGAGGTTCGTGTATATGCAATAGGTGCTCGCTGGATTTTGCACTATTGGATCCAGTTATTTTTCATGCTGTTGAAGTAATCGAAGAAACTGATGGTCACAAGGCTTGGTGAATCGCCATGCCATAGTGACGAAAGAACCACATTTATACCGATGAGCCAGACAAGTTCCTGCTAAACAAAGTCGTCGATCAATCATCTGCGAAACGATGGGTGCATTGATAGACAATGCTGGTGATCTATAGAGATGATCATTCTCTTGACCCACAGGATTTCGAGGTGTATAATCCACCTTCTGAACATCCGTGGCTAGATCGACCGCGATCACAGGAAAAATAGTCGCTGGATACTCAAGCAGATGCCATATCGGTATGTAACTCCACCACCTTTCTGTGCTCCAACTGACACAAGAGGACAATCAATCGAACGATAGAACGCGCTTTCCGTTCACTCCATACTTGTGCATACAGACTTCGATAACTTTCTCCGGCACCGATCAATCCATTCATTTTGATCCAGTGGCATACTTTGACTGATAGTTGATTCTGAAGCCACTCGGTTAACAGTAACAGCTGTCCGATACCTTCTACAAGTAAACGCCATTCTTCTTCAGCACCATTGATATCTGGCCGTAAAGAGTTAAACGTATCATTCGCTCAGGAATCGGGACAAAAGATGGATCTCTTAGGAGGACGTTCGCCTCTCCTAGTGTTCAGTCGAAAGGTTATGTCTTGGATCCTAGATCATACTTTTTCCCAAAAACTGTTTTGTAAAGAATTTCATCGAAAAATGTTGGAATCGTGATCCTCGAAGACGACCATCGTTTCAACAGATTTTTAATGATCTAAAACCGTCTCATGTTAGATTCCCGAACTCGTTTGAATTATAAAAACAATTCAACAGTAGGGATAATACTGAACACTCATATTCAAACTCTGTTCTACTTATTATTCTTATTTTTGTCTCCCAATAAGTATTAGAAGTCTTATTTCTTGACAGGATTTAACGATCAAACCATATGTACAAAATAATCCGAAAGAGTGAAGTTCTTAAACTGATTTTGTCAGAACGGGGATCAAAGAAAACTGTTGTGGTTTCGCGTAAATCATATCAAAATACAGACAAGAAAGTCAACAAAATGAGTCATGTTGCTGCAGTATTAATGTGACAGCAATCATTCAATGAAAAAAAGATTCACAATTCGCTAGATATCATGCGAGAGAAAAACTGCAAAAGTTTTTCCGAGACTCGGACAGAAAAAGCTTTGTCCTGCACATTTCTAATCACAAGAAATGTCTTTCCCGCTCTGTTACAAAAACAAATCAAAAGCCACCTTTCGGCCTGCAGAACAACCACCCTTCGGCCTGCAGAACAAATACATGATTTCTTTTGATATATATATTACTTTTACAAGTAACGTACATCTTCGATTCATTCTGGTCCCTTGACGTCGAATCATATTGATCATCTTTTCGTCACTCAACTTAGTTATTAGTCGGTTTGGCACAGACAGATCTAATGCCTGTAGTTACGACCAAATATCAACAGAATAAATTTTAAGAACTTCAATGTATTTGACTATTCTCTTTCTACTAACCGACCAGGCAACGTCAAATCGCAAACAGTCAAAAATCGCCAGGAAAATTTCAAGACTTAGCATCGGTACTTTTCTTAAATCTTTTGAAATTTTTTAAGATAGACTCATATTTTACCAAATACGTTCATGTCCACTGCAATACAAAGTCACTTTAGTTTGAAGAAATCTATCGGCACCTTTGTCCTTGAAGAGCTGTCTACACAGACGTTCCACTTCAAATGACAGTTCACCCTCACAATAACAGATTGCTACTTTCTAATAGAAGACTCATTTGGCTGTGTTGGTTACGTCGGGCTCCTCGGCTCGCTCCGCTCGTCTCGGCGCCGGTCGCTAACTACCAGCCAGTCGCAAAAACATCGGTAGATGCGGGAGCCATGTCCATCTTCATCTCACATTATTTGGATCGCATTGAACACAAGAAAAAGCAAGCTGTATTGTCTTAAAATACTCCAGGTGGAGAAATCACCCGAATACTCTAGACACTTCTAAGAACCAGATCCTATACTTACTCGTCTTTCTACACAGAGAATATCTCATACATCGGCAGAAAATTCAAAAGTTTCTGAAGATATGCAGCCACTCGAAACCTATCCCTGTCGATTCGCCATAGTCGATTCCTTATTCTCATTTCTACCTAATCAAGTTTAAGAAAACTTTGTGGGCAGAAATTGGTGAGAGATTCCTGGATCCCGGATACTATTTTCTCCCATACCGAGGCAAAAGTAAAAAAATTCACAAAGAAAAACACTATAGTTAAAAGAAATAATACACCTTCGGAGCACGTTATTAAGCGTAATGCAAATCTGCGTGCTTTTTATTTCATTTATACAATACAAGGGACGACTGCTGATAAGGCCACTTTGCTCCCCAAAATATTTTCAAGAGATAACTATATGAGCGTAACAATCTTGATATGGGCTACAAATCTAGCATGCTCAAACAGATGCGTGATACTTATATATTGAACAACATATAATTTGTTATTGTAATTTGGCTACCAATATCTGTACACATGAACTCGGATTTAAAAAAATTTAAGACCGAATTCGAAAATTTATTTCATTCGCTCTAGCGATTAAAATACACAATCGACCAGCAAAATAGTTACTATCTACGACAAGAGCTGAAAATATAGTTTATTTTTTACGAATATATGCATATGAAAATTCAGATACGTTTAAAAATAAATTTTTGTACAGCAGCCGTCATTTATTTAATTTAATAATTTAAATTTATCTTGACGTTTCAGTCATCTATCGGAGAGTGACTCTATGAAGAGTCGAAACGTCAAGATAAATTTAAATTATTAAATTAAATAAATGACTGCTGCTGTACAAAAATTTATTTTTATTCGCTTGTTGGCTCTAAATCGTAATAATGTTCGGATACGTCTAATTGGCTATGGCTCATTCACTCATGACATTATAGGTACACTATACTAGAACCATCATAGTTTGTTTAAGAATAGTCGCACAGCAATGAGTAATATCTAATTTTGAAGAACACACTTTACCCTACAGAAATACGATTTTATAAAGATTTTGTTCAAAAATTTGATGCAAAAACGAGGATTGTAAAATAACAGAAAATTTTAAGAATATTGGAAGAACTTCCCGAAACCATTAGACTAGTCGATAACCTGTACACTAAAATACCGCATGACCATTGATTTCTATCCGTTCTATATATAACAATCTTTTTTGCTCTAACCGCAATATTTTTGTTCAATTCATGTGGCATATAGTTCATACACTAAAAAGAACAATGAAAGACGAATTTTGCACGAATTCCATGTGAATGCACCAAAAATCGCAATAAACGGCTAGTGGACTGAACAAGAGGATTTAAGCATCAAAAACAGAAGAACATAAAAGAAATCCAGTCTCGCTTTGTGTCATTTTCCTTTGAAAGTCCATTGCATCACTCTCAAACTGTTTTTAGCATAGTAAATATGTCATATAAGAAATATATAACCGTTGAAAGCATCATATTTGACGAAAAGGTGATGTTTACAGCAGTTATCTATTTCTTCTTATTATATTTTAAAATTTACTGCTCAATTTTCAGGTTATCATTTATATCGATTTGGGTTAGCCGACTAAAAACTCAATCAAGCGCATGCTGAACCGTAATATAAGTTTATAATTTGAAATTTAATGAAGTGAGCGTACCGCAAAATGAATCATGATATATATTTCTTTACAGCAAATCGATAGACAGCAGTATTGGTTTAAATAGAATATAATAATTTTGTCGATATTTTGAAATAATGTTTATTTCTAATTGTTTTACTATATCTGAAGTAAATATTTCTTCTTCTTCTTCTTCTGTTGTCGAAGATGGCAGAAGAAACATATCTAATTGTTGTAAATATTTCATGTTCTTAATAAATAATTCAAGAAGTCGAAAACAATCATTCAATGTTCGAACTTTTATACTTTTTAATGTTTGACATTTGGAAAATATCTGACAGAATTCTTCTGATAATAAACTTGTCGTCATAGAACTACTAAAGAAATCTAAATGTCGAATCATACGATTGAGATTACGTAATAATTCAACTAGATGTTCCGCTATGTATTTATCATTATCAATTGTTGATGTTGTCACTTGTGTATATAATAAAGAGAATGGTATAGATAACGTATGTATATTTTTACCCTCTGTCAACAGTATAGACAATAATTGCGGATCAATTACCTCTGGTTGTATTCTGTTTAGAGTAAAAAAACGAATTTGTAAAAAATGAATTTTATTACCGTTAGTAAATATGTGCCGTAAATAATCTAACGCTGATCGATTTAATTCAAATGCTGACCTAATGTATATACATAACCGAATTGTATTTTTATATGCCCAGAATGGAACTGGTTGTTGAAATTGTGATAAAGGAGCATGGACGTGTAATATAAGTGTATCGACCAAGTCATACATTTGTTTCGGCGGAAAAATAGTTATTGGATGGTTTAATTTGTTTCTGTTTAATGATAAATGTAACTCATTGTTCTCATAGGGTACTGTATAGATAAATAATTGTTCAAAATCATAATCATAACGATAAGCAAAGTAGATATGTCGGTCTAACCAAAACTGTCCACGTTGAAATATAACCAATTCATGTTGTTCAGTGTAAATAATATCAGTATCAGTGACTTTAATATCTAATGAATGAATGAAAATAGAATTATGCACACATATGCTACTTAATATTACGATTAATAGTCCTGATAAAGTGCTCTAGATGAAAAGTTTAGATTTGCAGGAGTTCACAAGGGCATCCAGAATACTCGTAAAGAGATATTATCTAACAAAATCAGGCAGTTAGTGATCATTGCAGTAAAGATCGAGCTCAAACTTATAAGAAAAACAAATAGAGACTAGTTTATGATTAAAAGAAAAAAATTTTCTGTTCTGTCGTTTAGAAGTAATAGGTGTCGTGTCGTAAGAGACGGGAACCGAAAGCAAAAAAACGACGGAAACAATTCGTAAACTAAGTCATAATAGCAAGGTCTCCCTCTATTCTCGTTTTATTTTCTCCGATCTCTATAACGTTCCTTTAGAAGATATAATTTTGATAAAATATATTGAGAGAGTATATTGCAGATAAGAATTTTGCATTTTTGAAGAAAGAAGAAAAGTACTTAAGGGGGGGCGCGCGGGGGGGGGGGGGGGGGG